ATTGTACTCCGTTGTCTTACTGATTGATGAATGATGAAATGTTTGTTTTAAAAGAAAATAAAACTTTTGAACCAAAAAAAAAAAAAGACAAGATAATTAAATTGTATTTCTTTATGCACTTTTAGTTGTTTTTTCTCTTTAACTGTAAAACAAAACTATTAAAAAGGGGACAGTTTTGAATTATGTTTTGAAAATCACTGAGACTCTGATCCACATCACAGCATCTTCTAACTATCCAATTTATATTAATATACTTACTTGTAACATTCCTCAAATACCTTAGATAAATCAGACAATAGTTTCTTTCCTGTTTTGCAACATTTATCTAAGAACTGCCAAGCAATTCTTTTTAAAAAATGTGGCTACACAGCCAGGACTGCATCCTGTAGTATGCAATAACAATTTGAATTATGTTCCTGATTCATGGAAGCATAAATATCCCCTCCAGTGACTACATGTAAAATTTTCAATGGAATTGCTAATAATGCAACTATTCTCAAGGAATCATGTGGACTTGCCTTTATTGAGAAGTTGATTAAAAAAACAATTTAAAAAAGAGAAGCAGTTTGCTGTAGAAGTTAAGGCACCAGATTACAATCTGAGAGTTCTAGTCCTACTTTAGGGGCAAAGCCAACAGAGTGATTGTAGGCCAGTCAATTTCTTTCATCCCTACAAATGACTTCTGAAAGACTTGCAAGAAAACTACAAGGATCTATCTAGTTAGGTGCCAGGAGTTAATACTGACTGGATGGTGCCAAAATGAAAATGAAAATGAAAAAAGGCATCACTTTGGGATTTAGGACATCTCAAAAGCCATTCTTCAAGCTGTCAGTCAAACCTGTGATACAATTTCTGCAGATATCGTAAGAATAATTTGTTTCTGCTTCCTAAATCCCTGACTGTTTTCTTTAAGAAGTAAGAACGCCAACAAGGAAGCCAGGTTTGTTTGGCAATAAATTATATAAGAAGGTTTTATAAAAACTCAATGTAAATATTTAATTTTTAAAAAATGATTTGGCACTGTTTTGTAAATAAGAAGACACCGTGCCATGAAGTTAAGCTTTCTGGGAACAGAATTCAAGGTCTCTGCATTGGTGTGTCCTGTTTGTGTGATAAAGTAATATCTTCAAACCTGACTATTCTGGTTGTTGGTTCCTGCAGCTATGGAACTGAGCACTGCAGTATAAAATGCACAAATGTAGATCAGTAACACTTGAATAATACTAAAATAGAAAAACTTTCCAGTGCAAATTTCAAATTCTTCCTCTAATCAGCAGCTATAAACAACTAGCATTATTACTTTAATTGGTTTTTGGAGGAGGAGGAGGAGGAGGAGGAGGAGGAGGAGGAAAAGAATTACTACTACTACTTTATTTTGATCATTGACCAATAAAAGTACAATCAATACAAAGGACAAACTATTTCATAACATTAGCAACCATTTGTGGGCAAGGTTTACACACAATGTAGCAAAATTTTGCTATTTATAAAGAAATTTATTTTGATTATTTAATAATAAAAGCTATCAGAGTGCCCTAGAAATTTAAATAAAAGAGGAGCAATCAACTGGTGCCAGATGTCCCTGTAGAATAGAAAAGAATATGAGCTGTAATTTCTATGGTATCTATATCACAGGGGCAATAGTGGGTTTCACATGGAGTTTTCCTGTATTTCTGTTCGAGACGCAAGTTTTATATTTGTGTACCACCCAGCGATGTGCAATTGTTGCAGCATAAAAATTCAATTAAAAATAATAGCTTCCAATCTGATCTAGGCTATTTCCTATTTTGACCTGTGCTGCTGTTGCTCCAATTTGTGATTGAAATGGTATGTGGGAAGATGTGAGGAAGAAATGCTGCCTAGGGAATGGTGAGATAGGAGAGGGCATAGTCTGCAGCAGGAATGTGGCAGAGCAAGAGGCTCGGGTGGGATTCTTCTTAGCTTTTGGAGCTTTAAATGAGATGGTGGGAGACTTATACTTTCAGACTTGCAGGATATATAATGTAGCCTTACCAAAAAGTTGAATTAGCTCATCTGGTCATGTTTCTTACCAGACTTACCTGAGAAAGTTGACAATTAATGGACGCCCATCACTAGCCTCTGCCATTGATTTAACTTTGCTTTCCAAACAATTTCTGTTTCAGACACATGAAGACAGACAGCTGGACTTTTGGAGAAGCTGTGGGTTTGTGATATCTTTGAAAATATAGAAATAATATCCACTGCCATTTGCATGTTCACTAAGGCTACAATTCTACTGGACAGAATCTTATTAGAACTGTGATGGCTCCCTCAGGCACCAGCTTGGATGAGAAGGAAGAATCCGCTCCATAAAGGGGCTAAGGGGAGCACCAGGGGGTACATGGAAGGCTCTGTGGCAGAATCGGACAGTTGAGGCGAAGCTATGTTGGGAACATAGGGGGAATCTGAGAGAAAGTGGCTGGATAACAGCCAGCTGTACAGGCCAGAGGAGGGTCAGCACAGAGAAGGAGGTCCAGATCCCAGGTTGCATAAAGCTAAGTGGAGAGAGGTGCAATGGAGATTGGCAATGCAACTTGCAAGTAGGAAGCCTTGCCCCTCCTAATAAGATGCACAGGTCCGTGCCTATTTACCTCAGCACTTGGAACCCGGTGATTGTCAGAGACAACCGATCCCAATCTGTCCATCTGTGAATACCTGTGACTCATTGTCTTGAACTTATTGCGACTGTGTTGCCATCATTGTGCTTTGCATCCACTGAAGTCAAGTTTCCTTAGTCTTGCCTTGAACCTGTAGAAGCCGCGTTGCCTTTTTTTTGTGCCTTGAACTCATTGAAACTAAGTTGGCTTCACTGTGCCTGGAGTATGAAGAGTTGTGGGTGCTTTCATTAGGCCTTGCAATTGGCAGTTGCTGCCATCCTGAGCAGAGTTCATTAGTTCACTTTGCTGGCATTGCCCCTGTACCTTGGGTGTCGAAGAGACTGCATGTTGCCTTTCTCCAATTGCTTTTGCTACATTCAGTCAGAGAAGTTGCTTGATACAGACTCTAAGGACTGCCATTGCAGAGTTGGGACCTGGGGAATGACTATGAGGTTGGTTGTATGAAATAAACAAGTTTAATCCCACTCATACTATGTGTGTGGGGGGGGCAGGATTGGGAAAGGACAGGAACATACTTCTCGTCCATCCGTTCATTTCTCTTCACAGATTTTTCTGTAAATGAGGCACACTTTCTTATACATCTTTTAAAAATATTTAATTGCTGCATAATCTACAAACAGATGTGAATGAGATTATCATGTGAAGCAAGCATGAAGAACTGAATTACTATGGAGAGGCTTCCAACTGGCCACTCTAATGATTATGATATCCCAGGGCAGCCAATTATGGATTTACCCTTTGTAAAAAAAACTTTAATAGATTCAAAATTCTGTAACCGCCCTCCTTCTACAAAGGCACTATGAGGCAATGTGGCATAAGAAGCAAGAGCAATACATTTTCTGAAAGATTTAACAATCTTCCTTAGCAGACAGAACATTAAGCAGGATACCTGATTTCTGGAATGAAAGATTGTTTGCATATTCCCTGCTCAGGCACTGGAAGCAGTGCATCACATAATAGCTATGGAATTGCTTTATTTTCACAATAGTTAGAAGAGAAAATAAAATGTCTGAGCTGTAAACCTTTAAAAAAGAATATCTGTACATGGGACAAATAATATGTAAGGGAGAAGAATGTCTCACTAAGCCATGTTCACTATATGCTATCATCCAAATGAGATAATGACTGGGGTTCAAGTACCCCACAAAGCCAGTTTTTTTAACAAAGCAAATCACATTATGATTCAGTGCAATGTGTGAATCCACTTGGGGCTAGTTAACGAGAGATTATGAGAGCAGATACTTGACACTGCCAAAAGGGGCAAAACCAAGGAGGCAAAAACTGGAGTGGCATTTCCATGGAACAAGCCATCATAGGACTAGGCTGATACTGACAGTGTCTTTCCTCTTCTAGAGAAAAACAGTCTCCTATATAATAAAATGATTGATGTATACTATAAACAACTGGGAGCTGAAATCCAGACATATCTCACATCTCGTGTCACCCACTGGAGCCTTGGGCATGTCTCTTCTCTTAGAAACTGTGAAAAGCTGGCTATTCTTCCAGGCTCTAATACAAAATAGTAGGTGAGCTCTTGCCATTATGTATGTTTTCCTGCAAATATATAATGTTTTTATTTTATTGCTCTGACTATTTATTATGTAAAAACTCCCAGAACTGTTTATAATAAGGGGTTTCTTTTAATCAGGTAAATTAATGTTTTGCATTCTGTCAGGTCTCAGAAATAACAACCCATAAGTTGTTAATTCCCCAATACAAGCTAAATTCAATGTTCATCAATAGAAATAGACCAACTTCTATTCTATTGTATTTGATTTATTAATTCATTGAACCACCTTCCCTTTAAGTTAGGCATGATATAATATTAGGCACTATAATATAACACTGACTCTCTTTAGAAGGCCAGATCCTAAGGATGAAACTCAAATACTTTGGCCACCTAATGAGAAGGAAGGACTCACTGGAGAATAGCCTGATGCTGGGAAAGATTGAGGGCAGAAGAAGGGGATGACAGAGAATGAGGTGGCTGGATAGAGTCACTGAAGCAGGAGGTGTGAGCTTAAATGGACTCCAGAGGATGGTAGAGGACAGGAAGGCTTGGAGGAACACTGTTCATGGGGTCGCAATGGTTTGGAC